TTGTCCCTTTGTCCACAATTATTTATTCTGGACCCTTGTCGGGTCGATCGGACGTTGCTATACCATCTGTGCCTGGGTCTCAATCTATCATTCCTCTAGAAAACCCTAACCCTGCTCCAGACTCTTCTCCAGAGATCACTGGAGTATCTATTCGGGACATCATTGCAGGTTTGGATGATCATAGTGCTTCGGTTCAAGCTGCCATTATGTCTTATCTTCTTGTAAATCTTCCAAACATGGCTCGTACTAGGCAGTCAGTACTGGTGATTCCAGTGCCTTTTTCTACATCTTCTGATAAGGGTAAAACCAAATTATCCACAATAATTGAGTGCAGCAGCTTCCAGCCGCTATGTATTCAGCTTCTGCAGTACTGAGGGAGATAGAACTTTGTTTCTTACTTAGCCATGCGACTAAGTTTTTTCCAAAAAAAAAAACACCCAACAGAAGTACTTTTTCGATCATCAGCATTGCTAACCCAGTCAGCATCACTAAACCCTACAAGACTTAAGTTAGTATCATTTGAAAACCAAATACCATAATGTAGTGTACCTTTCACATATTTTATGATCCGTTTGACTGCTTTGAGATGAGATTCTTTCGGGTCTGCTTGAAATATAGCACACATGCCGACACTTAGCATAATATCTGGACAGCTTGCAGTCAAGTACAGTAGACTCCCTATCATACTCCTGTATAGAGTAGGATCAACCGATACACCTGATTCATCTTTGATCAATCTTGTACATGTTGATATAGGGGTTCAAGCATCTTTTGTAGACTCTAAGCCAAACTTCGTTAGTAGATTTTTGGCATATTTTGCTTGATATATGAAGATACCTTCGTTCATTTGTTATACCGTAAGCCTAGAAAGTAGGTTAATTTGCCTATCATACTCATCTTAAACACATGTTGCATGACTTTGACCAGTTGATCTGTAGCACCTGTCTGGGTAGAGCAAAAAATAATGTCATCAACAGATACCTAAGCAATAGTGACATGTTTACCTAACATTTTGATAAACAAGGTTTTGTTTACTCCCCCTCGATTGTAGCCCTGTTGTAGGTACTGGGACAGTCTCTCGTACCAGGCCCTGGGGGCTTGTTTTAGGCCATACAAAGCGTTGTCCAGTTTGTAAACATAGTCAGGATGATGGGGATCTTCAAAGCCTTTTGGCTGAGCTACATATATATCTTTGGATAAATAGTCATTAAGAAATGTTGTTTTGACATCCATCTGGAACAACTTTATCTTTAGAGCACAGGCAATGGATAGAAGGAGTCGAATGGATTCTAGACGTGCTACAGGATCAAACGTCTCATCATAGTCAATCCCTTCGATTTGGGAATAACCTTGAGCGACCAATCTTGCTTTATTGCGTGCGATGTTCCCCGCTGAGTCATTCTTATTACGAAATATCCACTTGGTACCTACAACATTTACATCAGTTTTAGGTACTAAATTTCATACCTTATTCCGCTCGAATTGTCCCAGCTATTCTTGCATGGCCTTCATCCAGTGTTCGTTAGTTAGAGCTTCTTTCACCATTTTGGGTTCTATCTTTGATGTGTAGCACGCATATCCAGCTAGCTCAAGATAGTTAAATTTTATGCCTATGGTTCGATCTCTGGTGGAAGGATCTCCAATAATGTTTTGAGTTGGATGATCTTTATGAATTCGAGTTGACACATCGATTGCTCCAAGTTCTGGTTCAGACCCTGACTCTGGATTGTTGGTTGATGGAGAAGATGGTGGATCAGGGTTAGGTATGACTGGAGCTGTGTCATGAGATTCTGGATTATTTGTTTCTGTATCTGGCGTAGGTCCAGAGATAAGTATGTCGATTATCTCATCTGGTCTATCGTCAACTACAATATTCATAGACTCCATGATGGACTTTGTGACTTTGTTATATACTCGATAGGTACGACTATTTGGTGAATAGCCAAGAAAAACTCCTTCGTCACTCTTTGGTTCAAACTTTGCTATCGGACTTCTATCTTTCAAGATAAAACATTGTGAGCCAAAAATGTGGAAATAATTAATGTTCGGTTTCTTACCTTTCCAAATCTCATATGGAGTTTGGTGTGTTCCAGGTCGAAGATAGACTCTATTTATAGTGTGGCATGCAGTACTGATAGCTTCCGCCCAAAACTTTTGAGATAGATTCTTTGCGTTCAACAGTACTCTTGCCATCTCTTGAATAGTATGGTTTTTCCGTTCTACGACTCCAATTTGTTGAAGTATTTTGCGTGCTCAATATTCATGTGTAATTCCTAAGCTGTCACACCAGTCATCAAACATTTGATTATCAAATTCACAGCTATGGTCACTTCTGATTCGGATGAGTGGCTCGTTTTTCTCCTTTTGCAATTTCAGGCCTAGAGCTTTGAATGCTTCAAGGGTTTCTGACTTTTCCCTAAGAAAGGCGACCAAAGAGAAACGTGAAAAATCATTTATACAAACTAAAATATACCTTTTTCCTCCATTGCTTTCTATTCTGGTGGGTTCAATGAGATCCATGTGGATTAGCTCCAAATAATGTGTGGTGTTAAACGTATTTTGAGCAGTGTGAGATGTCCTAGTTTGTTTTCCAGTTTGACATGCTCCGCAGACTCCTGCATATTCAACTTTTATGTTTGGTAGACCCCGCACACCATCAATCTTGATCAGTTTGTCAAGGGAGCGATAGTTTAAGTGACTCAATTTTTTATGTCACAATTCGGATTCTTTAACGCTGGACCTGAAATAGAGAACATCATTAGTAATAGTGTAACAGTTGTCAGAAGAGCTCTTACCTTCCATGACATAATGTTTCTAATAGTCCAGGATGTTGCAGCTGTCTTTTGTGAAGCACACTTTCCACTCTTGATCACACAACTGACATATACTTATGAGATTTGCACGAATACCATCTACGAGAAGAACTTGATTTAGTTTGGGCAACCCTGGAACATTCAGGGTACTAACTCCTGTGATTTTGCCCTTGACACCATCCCCAAAAGTAACATCACCCTTACTGCCTTTTATGTTGTTCAAAAACATTTCATTTCTGGTCATGTGATGTGAGCAACCACTATCAAAGTACCACATTTCTTCTCTGTTCGTACTTGTAGAGTGAAAAGAGACATGGCACACAAAGTCACTCTTTTTCACCCAGATTTGTTTAACAAACGGGGTGATGAATTTTTGGGTGTACTTCTCATCCCTTTGGTCTTTTTAGAAGTAGAAACACTCTAGTTTCGTATGTCCCCGAATCCTGCAATAGTGACAAATGGGATTATAATAATTAAACTTGGATGTTCTTTTACTTGGGAAAGCCTTGCTTTCAGGCTGTACTGCTTTCTAGAGTATCTTGTTCTGGTCCAATTGCTGGATCAGGGTTAGAAGCTTTTACAAACACCGTCACAGCCTTGTCTTTTCCTCCAGAAAAAACCCAACCCATATTTTGTAGTGGATTTTTTACCAGAATCCAAGATTTGGTCTAATGTGGACGTATTGCCCATCATCTTAATCCTGCGTTTCAATAACTCCAACTCTTGTTTGAGTTCTTCTTCACGTTTGTGGTTGTCTTTGATGATGTTGTCCCTGTTAGTTATTTGATTTTGATACGCTTTCCTAGCATTCTCTAAGTTGCTAACTTGACTAGACAGAGATCTATTCACTTTTACAAGGATTTTCCACTTTGCATACAATTTTTTATATTCTAACTTGAATGAGGAGCTGGTAAATCGTGGTTTTCAGCCGATACATATTCTCCAACTTCTGAGTCTTCGTCAGCTTCTGGGTCAGGAGTTGCGTTGGTAATAGCTGTAACACCCCCTAAAACCATGCTATTTAAAGCCTTAAAACATGCAGATACCTAAACCAAAACATCAAACACAACGGAAGACTGAAAGAGGATATATATATATATAATAGAAGAAACGGGGTGCTATGCCACGCTCACCCAAAGGTGAACGCACAGGCAACATCTGCATCGTTTAACATCTAAACCAACATAACAGAGTACTAAATCTAAATTGACTCACAAGCCACAAAACATAAGAGGGGAGCTATACTAGCTGGTACTAAACCGTGCACTCGTATAAGCATCACCTAAAAGAAGCATATAAAACATGGGACGACGCCCGGTCAGCGAATAATGCTGGTAACCCACCAATACATGTGAATTATCATACATAGATAAGATATAGGTTTGTAAAGCCATTTTCGAAACGGAATACATATATATAAGTCCAAAACCAAGAGTAATAGTCAACACAAGACTCAACACTCTCAACAAGAACACGGGAACACATCCCAAGACTACAAAGAACAATAACGACTCACAAGAAGTCTCAAGGTATAATCTATCATCACACAATAGATTAATACCCGACATGCATAACTCAAGGAATAAGGACACAGCAAACGGCAACACATGCCTTTGTGACTACACACGTCACAAGAAGAGAACTCACAACAACGGCTACACAAGCCCTCGTGACATCACCCATCACGAGTTGATATGCCTTCCTTATGCCCAGTTCCAACCTTATGGCTACCCCAACCTTATGTCTAGTTCCAACCTTTACCTCCAGGACCCCTGTACACCAAGTCCAACCTTTTCCCTCCGAGGACCGTCGTCCCCTCTCCAACAGAACCACCGATTTCATAGATAGACTTGTTAAAGTGCGAACATAAATGCTAAACAAAGTAGCATTTTATAGAGGTATTTAGAGGCTTCCTTGATCCGAAATAATGCAGCCCTTAACTCCTCAATTTAAGCTGCATCTCTTGATTTAAAATACCTTGTAAATAGGGTCTTGACTAAATTGTAATGTTGAATGAGCTTCACCTCTTCTGACCTACTTCCTGGCGCTGATCCAGACTCAACCAGCTGAACATATACTAGACTAGGTCCAGAACCTAACCACTAATCATTTTGATAACTAATTTAAGCCAACTCTAAGTGAGTTTTAATGTGTAACATTTTTACACTTACAGTTACAAAAAGAAATGGTTCCGTAGCTCAGTTGGTTAGAGCGTTGGTCTTATGAGCCGAAGGTCGTGGATTCGAGCCTCGTCAGGATCATATCACCTAGACTAGAAACTGAGTTCCTTTTAAACCTACAATGTGAAAGTTTGAGCCTCGCCGGGACCATATTCACCTAGACTAGAAAATGAGTTCCTTTTAAACCAGGTTTCAAGTTCAAGCCCTGCCGGGACCATATTCACCTAGACTAGAAAATGTAAAATCATATTTATATATCATACCATATATACAAACATTCATAATTTACAAATCCAAATTGCATATATATTTTAAAGCATATATTCCATATCAACAAGATCTCATAGTGTAAATATACAATTAGTGGCAATTTGAACAATTAGGAATGTTAATTAGAAAATAATCATACCGTTCACCAAAGATATGTTATCGTGCTGATGACGTGTTGTGATTATTCCCTTTAGCTCGTAACTATCCCCAGAGAAACGAATCGTATTCGTAATGAGAACAATACAAGGGAAAGGAAAAAGAAGATCATGTAGTAATAAAATAGAGAGAATGATAACAATTTTATTCCAACATCATCATCCATATATGTACAAAGGAGCTAGAACATATATATAATATACAATTATAATGGAAGTCATAAATGTAGTCATAAATCTCCTGACCGTTACGTAAGAAATAATGTCCATATTTAATAAGATTTATAACAAATACATTCCAATCGTATTTCAAATTCATTAACTATATTTATAACTCTCGTTTTGATCTATCACCTTTAAATTCATGAGAAATTTTTTTTTTTTTGCAAAAACAATTCATAATATATTTAAAAAGATTATAGGCTTAAGTGTACAACAAGTGTTCGTAGTCTAATGGTTAGGATAATTGTCTTCTAAGCAATACAATAGATTTCTGCCAAATGCACTATGTAACACCCCGAAATTTTAAAACTTTTAAAACTTCTATAATAAAGGTGAATTCTCATTAAATCCCAAAATCAAACATAAGAGTGCGGGGTGCTAAGCCACATCTGAGCTGGAGAACTCAGATGCACAGGCTAAACTAACTAAATAACATCAAAGCAATGTCAAAACATAATCATGGCACACAGGCCGAAAGGGAAACTAACTACTCTACGCTTCAAATCTCTAGCGCGCTCCGGTGCCTACTCATCTATGCCTGAAAGCCAAATATATCTGTTCAGCGAGTGATGCTGGTAACCCACTCCAACGCGTTGAAATACATACATACATATATATATATATATATATATATATATATATATATATATATATATATATATATATATATATATATATATATTATATGAAAACCATTTTGAAGCAGGAAGATATAAACTTAGGAGACTCTAGCTTTAAAACCAGGAATAGACTCGACAGATAGGGATAAGCACATTATGCAATGATAGATAGTTATATAGAGACAATATCATAAAGAACATGTATCTAAGGTCACCGTTCACTTTCAAATCATTCACATAATCATTCAATCATCATTCAAGTCACACAAGCATACTTTGGTGGCGCCACGGGACCAATCGCATGCCCCGATCATGAGGGTTAGTGCATATAGCACTAACACGGCCCTGCAGCACCCTACCTCATACCGCAGCATGAAGGGAGTTGATTGCAACCAACCCTTATAGACCGCTGACGAACTCAACGGCGGACCACAGCCCAACACACCGCTGACGCGCTCAGTCGGTGGACTGTGATCCTCTTTACAAGGGGGGACTACGATCCTACACACCGCTTGACGAACTCAGTCGGTGGGTCGTAGTAGATCAAGCCCTACACACCGCCTGAGGGACTCATTCGGCGGGCGTTGATCCTCGGAGACTACGACCCTACACACCGCTGGCCCATACACTCGGTGGATCACAGCCAGCCGTAGCCTACACACCGCCTGATTACTCATTCGGTGGACTACAGCCTTCCTCGGGCTTATTGGTGTAACACCCCGAAATTTTTAAACGTTTGAAGCTTATATAATAAAGGTGAAATCTCATTAATTCTCAAAACATAATACAAAGAGTGCGGGGTGCTATGCAACACCTGAGCTAGAGAACTCAGGTGCACAGGCTAACTAACTATTATCCTTAATAATGCAATACATAATCATGGCGCGCAGGCCGAAAGGGAAACTAACTACTACTACGCTTCAAGGTTCTAGCACGCTCCCGTGTCTACTATTCTGTGCCTGAAAGCCAAATATATCTGTTCAGCGAGAGATGCTGGTAACCCACTCCAACGCGTTGAAATACGATACATATAGATATATACATAGTTATACGAAAAACCATTTCGAAGCATGAAGATATATCCTAAGAGACTCTAGCTTTCAAAACAGGGAATAGACTCAACAGATAGAGCTTAGCACAGACAACGGACATAATCAAGCATATACAATTCATAAGCATAGGGAAACAGGCAGGGCAGATAAAGATAAGCACAGTTAATATCCATAACCCAACATATACGATTCCCGTCACGAATCCCAAAGTCACATCCCAAGACACTCATAACAACAACTCATCCACATCTCATCACACAAGCACACTTTGTTGGCGCCACAGGACCAATCGCATGCCCATACATGAGGGTCAGCGCATATAGCTCTGACACGGCCCCGCAGCACCCTGCCCCGTATCGCAACACGGAGGGGTCGATCGCAACCGACCGATGAACCGCAGCTCATCATAGTTTGATCGCAACCAAACAGTGGACCGCAACCCAAGAGTATGTCATCTGACCGCAGCCAGGAAATATGAACTGCAGCTCATGTAGAAACGTTTGATCGCAACCAAACGGTGGACCGCAGCCCGAGAGTGTCAATCTGACCGCAACCAGCTTCTGAACCGCAGCTCAGGAATAACCAATCTGATCGCAACCGGATTGGGGTATCATGCACACATAACACATAGCAAGCACATGCAACCCATATTAGCACATTGGGAAGGGGGAGAAATCGTATAACAAAACCTATGCGTGATCATCCACATACTAAGAATAATCCTAAAGGGTTCATACTTCTCACACCTAGGCCAACGGGATACCAATTCACTAGCATGCAATATATATAAGACTTAATCAACCTACGAATGGTACCCGAACATCAAACTAGACATAGGCACGATGGACGGAGTCCGTTGGGACACCACGGGGGTCGGGGGAACATCAAACGGGGAAGCCGGAAACCCATGGTAGGGTATTTTCCAGCGGGTAGCCGGTGGGTGAGGGTTCACCCGCCGGCTGCCCGCCGGTGGCATAACTCCGGGCAGCGGGTGCCCGGCGGGCAGCTGCCTGCCCGCCGGCTGCCCGCTGCCGGCGTTGCCCAAATAGGCCGCGGGTAGGTGGCGGGTCCCCTACCCCCCACTGACTCTTTTTCACCAAAAATGCCCCGGGAACCTTTGTGGAACCCGAAACCATGCTTAGACTCTTTCAAACGCAATTGACAACAATACGTAGACAATTAACGGATCCAAAAGCAAGATCATACGACACATAACCTATCATGCTTTCCTAAACATAATCAACACCCAAACATGCGAATTCCCACCCAATATACCAAGAAAAATACCATATGAGTTCCACGATACAACCTAGGGTTCTAATTACTTTTAAATCAACAAGAACACGATTCATCTTCTAATATTAAGATTTGGTAGGAATATCACCTAAATATCAAGAACATCATACAATCATCAAGAGCATCAAGAACACCATAGAATTATCAAGAACATCAAGAACACCATATAATCATCAAGAACCTCTCAAGATTATCAAGATCATCCATGGAATCACAATTATCAAGATCAATATAACGAACCATCAAACACACAAGAATATGGGGGAAATCCTAAGAGGGGAATCATAGCTATAAAAATAGGTTTTGTTGAGACATGGGTTACCTCTTAGCCTTAATTAATTCCTTGGCTATGAAGGGTTTTTTCTTTAAGCTTTCTTCTTTCTTGATTTCTCCTAAGGGAATTCTTGGAATTCTTGGTGTGGTGAGAGATTATTGTGGTGGGAGTTCTAGGTGCCTCCTATGTTCCCTATTTATATATCTAAGAGTCTTACTTAGGGTCCAAGTACTATAGGCTTGCTAACTCTATTCCTTTTAGGACTAGGGGTTGGGTTTAGAGGTGAGGGCCCACGGACTATGGTGGGCCTTTTCCTAATTAATTATTGTAATTTAATTATTTCTTTTGGGTAATTAGTTAAATGATTAATTGGTTTTAGGGATCGTAACACGGGGTGTTACAATTGGCCCTACACACCGCCTGGCGCGTCCAGTCGGTGTGTCATAGCACACGAGGCCCATGTGAACCGCAGCCCAAGAAGTGGATCACTGACCGCAGCCAGGAGAATGAACCGCAGCTCATAAGTAACCAATTTGACCGCAGCCAACTTCTGAACCGCAGCTCAAGAATACCCAATTTGATCGCAACCAAATTGGGGAATCATGCATCACATAACACATTGTAGCACGTAATAGCACATTGGGAAGGGGGAGACGTATAAATAAACTTACGTGTGATCATTCACATACTAAGAGTAGTCCTAAGGGGTGACAAACCAGCGGGTAGCCGGTGGGTGGAGGGCTGCCCGCCGGCGACGAATTTCCGGGCAGCGGGTGCCCGGCGGGCAGTCGCCTGCCCGCCAGCTGCCCGCGCCGGTGATGCTCTTTGGGGCAGCGGGTAGGTGGCGGGTTCCCCTACCCCCCACTGACTCCTTAACACAACAAACGTCCCGGGATCCTCCGTGGAACGCGAAACCATGCTTAGACACTTTTAAACGCAAATAACGACACCACGTAAGCAATTAATGGATCAAAAGCAAGAATCATATTGAACACATCCTAACATGACTTCTAAACATAAACAACACCCGAACATGCGGATCCCCACCCAAATATAAATCAAGAACATCTCAATACAAATTCTCAATCCAACCTAGGGCTCTAATCCCATCCAAATCATCAAAATCATATTTTATCTCTATCATCAAGAAACATCAAGATTTATCAAGAATCATCACATAAATATCAAGAAC